AGACGGGAGGAGAGAGGAGATGAGAGGACAGAGAGAGAGAGAGGAGAGGGAGAGAGAGAGAGAGGAGAAGAGGAGAGAGATGGAGAGAGAGAGAGAGAGAGAGAGAGGAGAAAGAGAGGAGAGACGAATGAGAGAGCGAAGCGAGGGGAGAGAGTGAGATGAGATAGGAGAGACGGATGAGAGGCAGGAGAGAGAGAGGACAGAGGAGAGGAGAGGCTGAGAGAGAGACGAGAGAGATGAGAGAACGAAGAGATGACGAGGAGAGAGAGAGCATAGAGCGGAGAGAGAGAGAGAGAGGAGAGAAAGAGAGGAGAAGAGAGAGCAGAGAGAGAGAGAGAGAGAGAGAGCGAGAGAGGAGAAGAGAAGAAGGATAGAGCTGAGAGAGAAGAGAGAGAGCAAGACGCGAGGAGCGACGAGAGAGGGGAATGATAGAGGGAGAATGAGAGAGCGAGGGTGAGCCAGCGATAGATAGCGAGGAAATGATAGGTTATGTCATTGCAAGGTATATAATTTCATCAAAATTGAGTGCGGTAGTAATGGTATAGCGATGTTCAGTCACCCCGTTACACAGGTTCACACTTACAGGTCTTCATGTAGGCCCCTATACGTTGTTTACCGAAGCCACTATATTAGCAGGGGTTAATAATGACAAATACATTTATGATGTTTTACGTTTATAGTAGTGTTGTCAATCGGTTGTAATTTCGTAATCGATCATCGGTTGGACCCAAGTAACCGATGATCGGTTACAATCGGTTACTCGGGGTGTTGAATGCCTGTGTGTGCGTAACGTCGTGTGCATGTACGTGTGTGCATGTATCTGCTTGTTTAGCCCTGTTTACTTACATACACAAACTAAGTTTATATATACTCTTCACGACATGTATAATCGCTCCCATTTGGATGGAGACGAAATACAACCCGATTTAATTAATAGTTATATGTTATATTCAAGGGCGTAGCCAGGAATTTGGATTGGGGGGGGGGGTCCTCGAGTCTAAATTATTTTGTTGAGATAAATGTAAAAATAGTGCTTTAAAATCAATTTAGACGCTGGTTTGTTGACAATACTATTTCTTCTGCAGATCTACAACGACACCTAACCCGACCATGCTGTGTGACTAACGTCAATATACACAGCCTGCTAGCCTGAAGCCAGGATTAGGCCAGCTACGCCTTTTTTATATTATTATATTTTTTTAAATTTTTATATTTGTGAAACATATGCTAGACCGGCTCTAGGGAGTAGAGATTCACTCTCTTCGCTACGCGGCCACCTGGCCACAGTCCGAAAGTACTATCAGTGAGCAGACTGAAGGTGCAGCCAATCCTGCATACAACGGTCACTCAAAGGAAACGCCCAACGTGTCCTTTATAAACGGGTGCCAGTTTAATAGAGGTCGATTTCCTGCATAATTGCGACTCAATGGAAACGCCCCCGAAGTGTCCTTTATATGCAGGTGTCCGTTCTATGGAGGTGGTCGCTAACACAGGCTTGACTGTATAAGTCGACCAGTAGTAGAGGTTTCGTTGTGGTGTTACGGTATCTAGAGCTGTCTACGGGGGAAGTGAGTGAATGAGTGAGTGAACCTCACCGAGCAGACAATGGCTGGGCGGGCGGCGCCGCCTTCCTTCGTGACGCAACTGCAATCGAAGTGCCGCGGATTCCTGCTGCTTTCAACGCATTACGTGATTCATCGGTCGATAAAAAAGTCGAAAAGTGGGGACAAAAAACGGACACCCTCTCTCTCGTCTCCGCGCTGTGAGAAACCCACGCGCGTGAAAAGCCGACGTTAGTGTTCCCATAGAGGAGGAATGTGCGAGATGAAGAATGTGCGTGTGTGTGTGAAAGAGAGAGAGAGAGAGAGAGAGAGAGAGAGAGAGAGAGAGAGAGATTATATATGCGCAGAAATCATGTAAACTTCAGTGCGTGCACGATTTTTTTTATACGAACGCAGTTTTATTCGCATTGAATTTGTGCCGCGAATGCAATTTTTCATGTAATGCGGTAGCAGCAAGTGAACCATGCCTCCACAGATAATAGGCTATCCATCAATCACCACGAAAGAGCTCCGAGACGAATCATCAAGCGGTCTAGGCACCGAACACGGCACCTTCAAGGTGTGCATGCAATGCATCGCCGAGAACCGGTGTAAATCTTTTGTGAAGTGACACCAGAGTGTATATTATATAATATATTATTTGGAATTTTATATATAAAACTCAGAAAAACACAGAGTTGTGTTTTTTATAATTATTATATTTTTTTAAATTATTATATTTTTTTAAATTTTTATAAATTTTATAAATTTTAGTCCTAGGGCCCCCAGTACCCCCTGGCTACGCGCTTGGTTATATTATAGTTATATTGTTATAGTTATATAATAGTCATATTTAATAGTTATATATTATAACGGTTTGAATATAACCCGTTTAGTTAGTTATGATTTGTCGTTTGTCGTTATGAATTTCCATGACCCTTCCACAGACTCGATTAGTTAGGAAGTTTTAACTACACTCCCTTACTGCGCCGTGGTAGAGAACGCATACTGTGCTGTACAGTTATAGTTCATATCCATGCCCATGATTAATCAACTTTGCGTGTTAATTCTTGTTTAGATCGGCTTAATATATATGAAACAATCTGCCATCCGTAAAATCTGCCGTCAACACAAACACGATTGAACATAGAACAAAGTAAATCATTGAATTCGAGACCAGAAACGACAGACGCATTAAATGTTTGTACGTAGTTTATTTACACGTAAAGAATATAAACACTTAAAATCACAAAATGTGTTCAAAATATGTAACAAAGAAGAGATAAATGTGAAGAAAACACGCAAATGATACAACCGTTTGAACTAAAGTGTGCACTTAGGTAAACAATAAACTATTTTTATTTTACTGTTGATATTATTATTTCTTGCCGAGATAATCCACTGGTCAATAGGCCATCAAGGGTCTTGAAATAATTTACAAAACAATTTAAAATTCAGAAAAGCTTCACAAACAGAAAATCATTTTATCAGTAGTGAATAAAAACATTTGTTTTTAATGATTCCTGATTTTGCGCACTTTACACGCATGGGTAATAAACAAAATGCACAATATATTATGCAGCCGGCAAATACTGCTAACACTTAAAAAAATACAGCTTCAATTTGTACGGAATCCTTGCAAATTATATGTACCTGTATTTACAGCTGGTAAACCATACACAAGAATACAGACAGACATACACATTCATTAGTTATACTTCACAGACTCTTGCACCATACGTATTACCACAATTAACAATTTATCATTGAATTTGCACAGCCTCATTGTATCAGATATACTTACTGCAGACATGATTGCATTATTAACTAGAGCACTCGGAGAGCACAGACCTCCGCCAAGGCAGCTGAATTCTCTCAATGTGGAATTTTTTATTAATTAATTAATTAAGTGGAAAAATTAATAAATTAATTGGATCCGGATTAGTGCGAGCGTGCAGGTGGGGGAGGACTGTGGTTGCCCCTTAGCTTGTGGTTGCGTGTTTGTAAGTCTACAGCCAGCGCACCTAGCGGAAGTGAACTGAAACGTGCATGGTAACACACAAACCAACACTCAAAAACTCGCCGGTGAAAACATAACCCCCGCCACGCTCCTGGCGGAGGTAAAAATTCCTGAATATTCTCAATAACCCTAAGATGAGCAGCGAAGTGGAGCTTTTTGAAATTTGGATACATCGCAGGCCAATATTCATCGCCTGCATCATAACCAGAAGACGTGTGTGAATTCATACACGGCAAAACAGACGAGTCACATCAACAACACAACTTCTATACACTACATGTTCACAAGAATCATAACTGCTAGACATTTGGGACCATGGACTAATTTTCACATTAAATAGCCTACATATCACAGTGTATATATACCGAGTTATTAATTAAACGGTTTACTACCAAGCAGTCAGAATTTAAAACTCAGCATAAGATTGTGTGGGCAATTGATTCAGCGTGAACAAGCTAAAACAGTTCGACATGCCATGGAAACTGTCAGCAGGACTTGCTCAAAAAAGGCAACAATTTGAAGCAATAATCACTTCACGTCAATCTATAAAAATTAGATTTTACGATAAGCACAACAAACTCTAGTGTTACACAGGTGTTTACACGGGGTCCCATAAAGTCAACCATAATAAGTCATAAGTAACTGAAGCCACTGTTAGGGGTGCTACGCAATTTTGTAAATAATCTGTGAAAAACCTCCGACTCCTCTGCCTAGATATACAGTCAAACCTCGGCTATCCGAACATCAATTATCCGAATTTCGGATTATCCGAACAAGATCTCAAGGTCCCGCGAATATTTAACGATAATACGAGCAGATCAGTTATCCGAACAATCAGTTATCCGAACAAAATACTCCCCGCCCGTCTCGTTCGGATAATCGAGGGTTAACTGTAAACATTATGCATGTCTATTAAAGGAGAAGTTTGGTTCTAGTCAACAGCTATATGTTCTTCGAAACACGAGTATTTTTTTTACATTCCGATACCATCTTAACATGACTCGTTCACACATAATCTGAAACCCGTGTCACAGATCCGCCGACCAACAATTAATTTTTAATTTTCTTTTCATCACTTGAGAGATATTACGACATAAGTGACATCAATGTTGCCCATTAGTTTTAGGGAATGCATTTTCACAATAATGCGCAATAATCACTAGTAGCAGCTCGTTATCACATCACACTTACATTTAGGAGGAATTACAAGGGAAAGAGAATGACAGACACACAAAGGCGCGGAGTACGTAAGACAGTACGATTCCGATGAGAAACAACATGGACTTCAGGATCTCTAAAATGTGATGTGAATGTGACGACTATTTAGCTAAATCAAGCGAATGCACATGTGGCCATGAAATGCAAAATGTGTGGAACAGCAAGGCTTCTATGAGACCATTCTGAACGCAGTAAAGAAGGATAAATTTACCATTGTATCACACAACACCAGGAATGCAAAGAGTCATGCCTATGTCACTATCTTCAGAGCCAAACGTAAAGACCCGCGCACACGGTGCGAATTAGGCGCGTGCGCCACTTGCGCACACAACCCAAGCAATGCGCATGCGTGACTTGTGTGCAGCGTTGTTGGCGTGCGCCGAATGCGCACCGTGTGCGGAGCCGTAAGACTCTCATGAAACCTCGTAATCCTGACTGCTCAGGATAATAGCTGTGCACACGGCCAAAACTATTTTGGAAATATACATGTTGGCTTTGTACAGCTGAATGTCAATCAAAAGTTAAGAAATACAAAATCAAACATTAGCCACATTCATAGTACGATATAGCTGTTCACCAGAACAAAACTTATTCGTCAACGGAAACCAAAATAACAATTTGGAATCTATTTCCAGCCATCTTCTGGCTTGGTTGATACTCCGCCTTGCGTTTTTACAATGCTGATGACCACTGACCGCAGGCATTTCTGTCAGGTAAGCTTCAGCAGTTCAGGGCCGCCTTCGTCAATGTTCTATAGACACTTCATTCTCCGTGCGTGTGTGTGTGTGACGGATGCTACGTGAATACAGATGCGTGCTACTGCTACGAAGCGTAACTCCCATGGAGGTCGTCGGCTGTGTGTGTGTCAGCAACAAAGATGTTACATGACTCACAGTTCCTTATTGGGCAATGTCATGAGTGCATGTGGTGAACTGCTTGTTGCGGAAGCAAACCTGGGCGGTGATGTTGTCTCTGTGACCACGTCTTCACACCTTAACTTACATCACAGTTCCTAGGCAGGTGATGTCGTGTACAAGTACACCCACCTACATGTATTATAATGTACATGGGTGGTGATGTCATCCATGTGGCTGTGTCTTCACACGTAAACTCAGTTCCTCGGTGGGTAATATCATGTACATGTGTCTAAACTCTACACGTACAGTCGTACATGTACATGGGTGGTGGTGTCGTCTCTCTGACCACGTCCTCACATGTTAACTCACAGTTCCTTGCTGGCTAATATCATGTACATGTGTCTACATGTACATGTACATGTGTCTACACTCTACATGTACATGTACATCTGTCTACACGTACATGACATGTACATGTAACATGCGTAACAATACTAACATGTAACATGTACATGTGTGGTGGTGTCGTCTCTCTGACCACGTCCTCACATGTTAACTCACAGTTCCTTGCTGGCTAATATCGTGTACATGTGTCTACATTCTCTCTGTCTCTCTATCTCTCTCTTCCTACTCCTCCCTTCTCTCCTCTCTCGCTCTCTCATCGGCTGTTATCGCCGCCTATAGACTAGTATCGAGTCGTTTGACGTATACGCAAGCAACATCCATTGCATCTATGTGCGGTACTGTAAATAGTGTATGATTAGAAGGTTATGCAGAACGTTTTCCTGGTAATTAGACGTAAATTTTTACGTCTTCTTTGATGTAACGAGTGTCAAACGGAATTAATATATCATAATCACAAAATAATACTCAGATGCGTTGTTTGATGTTACATGATTATGCCTGCGTTAAGAACATAAAATTATAGAACACGAATATTGCCGTATAGAATTTTTCTACGCACAGCGAGGGCTCATGTCATTGTTTAGACATCAGTGCAGCTCATGGGGTCTATGTCCCCCAGGGTACTGCCGGAACGTACCCAGAGTACGGTCCGGTATACCGGAACGTACCCTGGTAACTATCTGATATGGTTAGGGTTAGGGTTAGGGTTAGGGTTAGGGTGTAGGCGTAGGCGACTTCCTAGACTCGTTAGTGGAGTAGGAGAGGTACGGTCCTGCATATTAGATAGTACCAGAGTACGTTCCGGTATACCGGACCTTACACAGGGTACGTTCCGGCAGTACCCTGGAGTACATAGATCCTCTCAGCATCAGTGCATGGCAGTGGGAATTCTTGCGCTGGAAACCCGAGCTTACTAGGGCAGCAATCATGAAGATAATCAATCAATCATGCTATATAATCAGCTTGGCAGTAGTTTTAAGACAGAGAGAGAGAGAGAGAGAGAGAGAGAGAGATGGATGAATAGATAAATAGATGGATAGATTGATAGATAGATAGATAGATGATAGATAGATAGATAGATGATAGATGATATATAGATGATGGATAGATAGATAGATAGATAGATAGATAGATAGATAGATA